GAAAGTCTAATGGCTTCCTCTAGCAAAGATGACTGGTTGCCAGTTACCATGAACGTTGCTGATGCTACTGTCACAGTCATCAATGAAAGAGTAAGGCAGACTCTGTTCTTTAAAACACAACTAAAATTATATGAGTGTTGAAATCCAGGAACACAGAAATGCTAGTAGGGTTAATTTAAACTAAAATTCATTTGTTTATTTTGCATTTTTTTTCTTTCCAGAATCTGCAGAGGCTATTACTGCTTATATCAGCTCCAGCTTTATTTATCATTCCAAGCATGTTCTCAGAAATAAATTACCATAAATATTCATTAGATAATTAAATTCAGTGTTTTCCTTTCTAGGAATTTTGAGCCTAAAATGTTGTAGGTTAAGCCCAAAGTAGTAGAAGTACTAAATTCCAAACTGCATTTGCCTTACTCTTGGTATGGATGCCAAGAGTAATATAAAAATCTGTGTTACAGAAGAAAATGTAGAGCATTTTCCATAGAGTTTAATACAGTGAGACTAATGCTGTATTTTATATATGTCTTTTGATGAGGTACTAAACCAACATCTCTATAACACACCAGTGATAGGGGAGCATATTTTGGAGTCATTATACCCATGTACCCATGTTGTTGGTTTCTTCACAAAACAAGCAGCTTCCAAAGTGTGCAACATTTTAGAATTTTGTGGTAATGCACAAAGCCTCAGTGGCAGCCTAGAGGGAGAGATCCAGCCCAGGCCTGAGCATGCTTGGGTCATACAGATAAGAAGGAATTACAATAATGTATCAGGATATCCTCCCATTTAATGAAAACTGAAAGTTCCGCAGAGCATGCAGCAGTAACGCTGAACCCTTTGGTTCCTGAGCAGAATGAAGAGGAGGTGATGGTGGAGTGCCGTGTGCGGTTCCTGTCCTTCATGGGGGTGGGCAAGGACATCCACACCTTCGCCTTCATCATGGACACGGGAAACCAGCACTTTGAGTGCCACGTGTTTTGGTGTGAACCTAATGCAGGCAATGTATCAGAAGCTGTTCAGGCTGCTTGTATGGTAAGTAACCTTCTTCAAAGGCATCTAATACCACTTTAGATTTTCACTGCCTCCATAAATTAGCATTTTTTCAAATTTGTAATTATATTCATTTCAAGACAGAGAAAAGAAAGATAGAAATAGGAATTCATATTATGATTTAATAAATTAAATTTTTAATCAATTAAAATCCAAACATCTTAATGTTTAAGCACCAGCTTAGTGAACAGTGCCCCTTTAATTATTTTCCCTCCCAACCTCTGCAGCATCTATGTAAATTACAAATCTTTTCTTTCACTACCCAAATTATCTAATGCCAAAAAAACATTTTGTTTGGATTCATGTTATGAAATCCAGAAAATAATCCTTTTTCAAGAGTAACTGAACCCAGGAAACTTACTTTTCAGTTTTAAAATGGGTATTTATATGATTTATACCAATATTTGTTGTGTGCTAATGGACAGTTTCTGCCCAAACATTGACAGACCAATTTCTGATTAACTTCAGCTGAGCTTTTTGCCACAGCCAAAGCAGATGTAGCAGATGTTTGACTAATGAGAAAATACAGAAGTGTGTTTGAAGTGGTCAGGAAGTTCCTTGCTGCAGAAATGGTTTCAGAGTGGCTTTGCTCTGTTGCAGCTGCGGTATCAGAAGTGCTTGGTAGCCAGACCTCCCTCACACAAAGTCCGGCCGCCGCCGCCGCCCGCAGACTCGGTGACCAGGAGAGTCACCACCAACGTGAAAAGAGGAGTCTTGTCCCTCATTGACACTTTGAAACAGAAACGCCCGGTGCCCGAGATGCCATAGCTGCTTCCGAGAGAAGGCTCTCCCACCAAGAGACTGAAGAGAGCCTGGCCACACTGGGGCCAATGAACAGACCACGTCTGCCCTTCCATTGCAGCTGCTGATGCTTCCTCTTCAGAGAGTTCGCCCCATGGAAACAATGTTACACACGCATGTTCTCTCCTTCCTGCCACCATCGCCTGATATGAAAAGAAGCATGAATAATTTTTTTGCTGTCAGTGAGTTACATCATGGGCAATGGAAGGTCTGTTTGATTGTAAATACATGAACTTTACCTAAACTCACACAAAAAAGAGAATATGGCCACGTCCCTCCCAGTGAACTCGTGCTAAAATCCTTGGAGTGAATGATGCCTCAGTCAAAAATTTCACCTTCTTGAGCTGGATTCGTCATAAACCAATCTTAAATCCTCCAGCACTTTGCTCTGTTTTCAACACTGGAATAGGTATCAAGTATTAGCTACCATTGAATTACTGTAGATTAAATACCAAGTTTTATTTTTTACAGAACTGCACCTGTTAGTTTTAAATTGTTTGTCAGCATTGGTCTAGCAACTACTTTAACATCTCCCTGACATGTTTTTGAATCGTAGTGTCATGTCATCTTCTGGTTACACATTATGGTCTTACAGAAGAATTTTGTTTAAAACCAAACCAATGATGAAAAATACAGAAGTGTTTTCAGTAATTGAGTTGCAGGGTGATCCAGTGAAGCTTTTAAGCTTTAAACATACAAATTCAATTGCTGGCTGTTAAATTTATTCTCCTAAATCTGTCATTAATTCATCAAAAATAATTTGTTTCATGGAGGGCTCAAGCTAATCAGGAATAAGAAGAAGTAGTTAGTGATTTTATTCTCTTACAACTGTTATAGAGACTAAACTATTCCATACCTTTTCTATACAAGTGTTTGATGAAATGTTCAGTTCAGTGTCTGGTTGCATAATTCCCCCTTTCCCTTGGAGTTTGTTGCTGAATACTTAGCATGCCAGAAGAACAATTACATTTCTTGTTATTTAAAAAACTTCCTGAAATTTATTTTACTTTCAATGCTCTTGTAACAAAATAAGAAGAGAGTTGTTTTTTAACAGGGTAGTGTTTCAGGTAGTACAATTGGATTTCACTGCTTTTGCTCCAAAGACTTCATCTGATTGATTTGCTTTACACACCTGCAGACCCTCAAAATCAGCCCAGCATTGCCCTCAAAATTGTACCTCAGGCTGATTTTGAAATGCATCTTCAGTCTCTTCCTTTGTCATCTTCTGTCTAAACCCGCAGATTTGTACAGATTTTGGAACATTATGTTTAACTAGTGTTAAAAATGTTTTGCCTCCATTTATAGCTAGGTTCCAAACTGTAACAAGTCTGCAAATCTTGTGATAAAGGAGCATTGGCAAAGTTTTTGTTACAATAGCTCTTTTATTTTAATATGCAAGAGACTGTTATAAACAGACTATTTTCTTTTTTATTTCCTTGTTTGAAGAAATTAATGACCACACCTGGCGAAGTAACTTAGAAACACAACAGGAAAATAATGATGATTCAAGAAATTTCTGTGCTGAAAAATGCAGGAAAATCATTACCAAACTCAGTGTGATGTATGAGCTAGTGTCAGGTGAAGGCTGGCTATGCAACTATTGTAATTAAATTTAGCTTTCTACAATACCCCCTGAAGAGCTGATCCTCCGAGGATCTCCGATCTCTTCATGACCACGATCCTGCACCTCGGGCACTGAAGCAGCGCTTTCCCCTCTCAAGGCTCACGCTCTTGCCACCTCCTTTGCACCCCCTCTATTGCCTGCACAGCTGGAGAAGCTGCTTGTGCTGAGTGCACCGGGAGGGCTGGAGGGGAGGGCGTGCGAACAAACCCGCCTGTGGCTGAACTGAGCACGGAGCCAGAGCACAAAGCATGGGGATGGCAGCTTGCATAGAGCTTCTGTAGCTCCCAGTCCTAATCCCAGCCACCCTGCTAGGAGCAGTGTAAAACTCACTTCTAGCACAGAATCACAGAACTGTTTGGTTTGGAAGAGACCTCAAAGGTCATCTCATTCCAAACCCTATCAGAGGGCACTTTTCACCAAAGCTGTCCATCCAACCTGGTCTTGAATATTTCCAGGGATGACTGCTCTCAAACTGTGGTGGCTAACAGGTACCCTTAGGTAGGATTGTGAAGTTAAAAGTTTCCTTGTTCATCCTTGTGCTAGTGATTCACATTTTATTTTATTTTATTTTAAATTAAATACTTTGACAGTATCTTTTTAAAGTTCCTGCTGACAATGTCATGATTTGAGATTGGCAACTGTTGTACAGCAGTGAGTTAATTTTAAACAGTATAATGGAATGTTTTCATTGCATCTGCACCATGCTGATTCTCCCCAAGAGAGATCCAGACTCTCTTTAACTAAACCAACACTTGGCAAACAGCAGAGTAAAGGTTCTACATCTGTGTTGTCAAGGCTAGAACATCTGGTTAGCTTTCATTAGCAATGGAGGCAACTGCAGGCAGGGCTGAGAAGACAGAAGGGTATTTGAAAAGCTGTGCATCACTCGCCCGTGTATGTTTTAAAGGTTTATGTCTGTTAACAAAATGCTGTTGATTTTGCAAATATTTAAGTAGTGTGCTTGATGATTTGACTATACGTGGCCTTTTTGCTTCAGTAGAGCTCCTAATTCTCCAAAAGATTTAATACACACCCAGGTGTTTGCAGAATCAGAGCCTAATATTGCAAAGCCTATTATCTTTTGTTTCACAATATATTCAGACACTCTTTTTACCATGGCCAAAAAAAGTATGTATGAGGTGTGTGTGTGCGTTTTTGATCAACTGCAATTGTTCTAGTTGATGTTATAGCAACCCTTCAGTTATCTATGCATTTTTTATAATACCTAGTGATTCTGTAGGCCGGCAGCCATGTTCACTATGCCTTGTATGTCTGATGCCATATTCTAACTTAACCTGTTAAATACAGCTTAAAATATTTTTATTTTATTTATTCTATTTTTACTGAAATATCCTGCTTTATTATGTTGATGTATTGTCTTTACTGGATGTGCTCTTGTAACATTCTCCACTCTGTATACTATAGGTTGCCTAAAAAAAGGCAGGCTTTGTAATTATTTATAGTCACATTTTTATTGAAGTCTGTAGATGAATCATGTAAAGCAAAGCTAATGTCGTAATTTTTTTCAAAGCATGTAGTAAGTTAGAGGTATCACGTGTCAGTCAGTCATGTCATTAACACACCCCCTTGCAGAAGCAAGGAGATTTATATTCACAGTCAATGACTAATAGATGAAAGCCTTTCTTTTGAAATCTGTAGTGCTGGCTGTAGGTTTTATTTAAGCCACTTACTGTTTCATTTACAGGGGAGCAAGGAGGTGCAAGGCTATGGAGGCCACCTACAGGGTGGTTAACTGGGAATGACAAAAATAGCATAGGAATAGCACAGAATCCATTCACAATAAAACAAGGTTTAGTGATATATTTCCTGTGCAGAGTCACTTGTACCTACAGAAATATTATGCCCTTCAGTGGCAGAGGAACAAAAATTGTGGAGTATCTAATAGCTCACACCCAGGCTGTCACTAAGGGTTCTACATTTCTTAATTTTATCAAGCATTTCGTAGATCATTCATCATGGAATCTAAAAGTGTTAGTACATCACCCATGGAAAAGAGAACATTCTAATTTCAAGAGCCATTATGGGCACAGCATTTCAGCATTACCCCCAAATGCATTACTCCTTTCTTGGGCACATTAATTTACACATTGTCACATGTGCTGTCCCATCAGCCCATGCAGGTTTGATTTAACAACAGTGAGACAGAAGGAAACACAACACTGTTTATTAGCAGAGCCCAGTCTTACATAAAAGTACATGACTGACAACAAAAAGGACAATTTTCCCTGCTATTGACCACTTCTCCATATTTAAATGTAATCTGTTCTGAGAATAAATTTAGCTGCATAAAGTGATTGTCTCACCTGTTACTGCTCCATGAAACTGCGAAATTATTTTGTTCAGAATGGTGGTTGAGGGAAGGGAAAAACATACCGGTGGTTTAGAGGCAGTAGCAGTACTCTGAAAACTTTTGTATCTGGAAAACTGAATCAACAGTTTCTAGTTGAAAATGACAAATAAACAACTGGATTACAGAAAAGTAGTTACATAAGATGCAGTTTTACTGAAAAAAGACTGTTACAGGCATCTACCTACAAGCCATCTGAAGTCAGTCCCAGGTGTTGCCACCATGTGATGTTCCATGCTTACAAAGTAAGCTGCTGACCTGCAGTTGAAAAATTCTCTCTCTGATATTCTTGGTAAGCCATCAAGATTCTGACTGGTTTAACCTCCATACTGTGCCAAAAATGCAAATTCCTGAAAGCAAGGCAAGGCCAAGGGAGGGACATCATGGCACATATTACGTAAGTAGCCCAGAAATTCTGTTATTAGACACACATATGTTGTTTTACAAGTAATTTCAACTTTCATAATGAATTATACAGATCTTGATTTTTTTAAAAAAGATCATTTTTTAACTGCAGAATCTCTTAAGTTAATTTTAAGCATTTAACAACCATATTGGGGGAAAAAAATCTCCACAGTGTCCATTCCTTCCATCCAACATGTAGAATCCCTCCTCCTCCTAGATGTTTTTGAAATAAAATAGGATTTTTTTTTTCTGGTTCTACACATGGCATGTGTATGGGTCTAAATCTATCCTAACAAGTTTATTCAGAAATAAGAGTAGAGTTAATTGTATTACTGGAGCAGGCAAGGAGCATGTATTGCTCACAGGGATATGCAGAGGGTGAGGGATGTCTTTGTATAGGACAGCTGGCTCAGATTAAAATGCTGTAAGAAATTTCACTGATTCAGTGAAGCAATGACATTTATCAGATGAACAAGAGCCAGCTGCCTACACTGCTGGGGTAGTATCATTCACATCCTTTCTTAAAAAGGTACTGCTGATCCAGTAACACTGACTGGTGTGGATGAAGACAAAATAGAGATGTAGTAACATTTTCTCTGGATGGGTCTAAATCCAGACTTCTATGTCAAACTGGTTAAGTCCCACACTACAGTGGTGATGCTCCTGGCAACACTCTTCCCAAGTATCTGAAATGGTGGCCTAGAGGAAGATTTCTGGGCCACAGATACCTTTGTCTTTCTGTATTGCTGTGCTGTCTCTTTCATTTTTACAAGTTCTAGATACACATCAGGTTTATTGTTAAAAGTATCTCTGTGACTCCTTTTATCCTCTACTCAGATTACAAGACAGTTGTAGATGTTTTACAGTTATTTTATCTTTGCTAGCAAAAGGGAGCATAGGGAGCAAAAGGGAGCGTAGAAGCCCACAGCTGTTTCCAAAGACAGACAGCTAGTCTTTGTCCAGTCACTATTCAGCTGACTAGCAGTAACATTTATAAAAATGTTACCTTGACAGTAGCAGCTCTTTTCAACTCAGAACTGTTTATGTTAAGAAATTGATAAAAAGCAGTTATGAACCATGCCATAGTCTGATGTGACATTATGACGATGATTCAGTGTTTTTAGGATGAGAATGTTTGATCTATTTTTCACTGTTAGTATTTCAATGCACACTTAAGAAACCAAGAGAACACACACTAGAAAGCCTATGCATGGGCTTCAATGTACTTGGCCAGTTTCCTGGACAGAAGTTCACATCTAGATTTAAAAATACAAGGCTTATTTTCCATGCATCTGTCATAAGTGGGAACTCACAAAAATAGTATCTAGCACTTGTAAAGAAAAGCCACTTTAGAAAATTCAGTCTCACTTTAAAAACATCAATTTGAAACTGATTACCTGTACGGGTTCAGATACAGTGAGGGGTTGAGTACACAATTTAACTTGTCACTTCAGACTGCATAGCAAGAGGCTACAGGTTTTTGACCTCACTTCCCCCAACAATATATCAGCCTTAGGCAGCTGAGCTCCATTCACTTAAAATGTGATTACTGGATGAGAAGTTACTATCTAAACATGGATATTTCTATATACATAGCCCATAATACATCTTTCCTAAGGCCAGATTATCCTTGCATAAATTTATACTGTAATTTAAGACTATTGATTAGGATACAGGAACCTTTACCTTCTTTACAAAGGGAGGGCAGAGTCTGAAGGTTCATACAGCCAAGTTTGCTTGACCATTTTTGACCAGGGTGCTGGAAATATCCAACCACTTGGACCCTGTGCTCCAGTCTGGCCATGAAAGCCACGTTAAGTTGATACCCTGAGTTTGTTTCATTACAGCCTTTCATATGGTGTTATCAGTGAAGGCAAAGTGATTGTTGTGGGCTTCAGTACATCCCTGTTCTGTTCTATGCATGCCTTTTGATCAGGTGTCTGTCTCATACACCTTGCCCAGAGGTGACAGATGAGAGATGTTGGCTTCTGCACTTTCACTGGTGCTGTGTATCAGTCAGGGTTCACAGATTTCTTCAGCTCAACACAGCTGTCTGTTCAGGGCACATTCTTTTGCTGTGTGTTACTGGCTGCTTTTTTCCCTTGCCCAGTCTCCTGTGCTGTGTCACTGGCTGCTTTTCTCCCTTGCCCAGTCTTCTGTGGTGTATCACTGGCTGCTTTTTTCCCTTGCACAGTCTCCTGTGCTGTGTCACTGGCTGCTTTTTTCCCTTGCACAGTCTCCTGTGCTGTGTCACTGGCTGTTTTTTTCCCTTGCACAGTCTCCTGTGGTGTGTCACTGGCTGCTTTTCTCTCTTGCACAGTCTTTTCTTTTGGGGAGCCTGCGTGGTTTTTTTGCACCTTACTGGCTGGGCTTTTTGGGCATATGGGGCACACATGTGTTTCTTGTATCTTATGGGCTGCTTTAGGCACAGGAGCCTTAGCCTTAGCTGCAGCTGGGCGGGGAGGGAGCTTTGCAGCTTTTGGCTTACTGTTACCAGCAGCAGCCTTACGCCTACGTTGTTTTACTTTCGGCTTTTTCACCTCTTCTTTTGGCTTTTCTTCAACAATGCCATCTAGTAGAGCTTTTGCTGCAGCAGAAGCCAAAATGTCTTTAGCAGACGCCTTTTTCTGAAAATTTCACAGGAAACAACAGTGAATCTAAGCCACAATACAGAGCTTCTCAGAATTTACTCCATGAGAAAAAGAGCAGAATGTAGCAGAAGGACTTAAGTTGCATGTGATAAATGCTAACCAAACTATTTATTCACAAATTTAGGAACTTGACTTGTGTAAAGAGGTACTGGAGCATTTGTTCTTCATAGACTTTCTTCTCTGCTGACCCAAAGAGGGGAAGCTCAGTTCTGGGCTCTGTAATGTGTGTCTGTCTTGGCAACCACCTATTTAACCCCAGCTGGTCGCCAAGCCCCACGCGGCCGCTTGCTCAGTCCCCCACCAACAGAATCAGGGAAGGAAATGGAAGAGTAAAGCTAGGGAACTCCTGGGTTAAGATAAAGATTGTGGTTCCCTGGGAAGACCAGTGCCATTACTGCAAAAGTCCTCCCTTCCTCCTGCTTCCCCCCACTTTATGTACTGAGCATGATCACACAAGGTCTGGGATATCCCTTGGTCAGTTTGGGTCTCCTGTCCTGGCTGTGTCCCCTCCCAGCCTCCCACACACTCCCAGTGCCCTCACCTGGCACTATGGAAAGCACAAAGGGCCTTGGCTCTGGGTAAGCCCTGCTCAGAGATATCAAAACCATTTCTAGGTCATCAACCCTGTTCAGCACAAATCCAAAACACAGCTCCACACCAGTCACTGTGAGGAAAATTACCTCCACCCAGCCAAAACCAACATATTCCCACACTGACCTGCTCTGTAGTGTGCCTGTATGAATAAAATATCCATTGTGTGTGTGTATCAGAAATACTTACTAAAATACAGAAATTTCAGTAACATTAAGCATGAATAATTTTCACAGTAATGAAAGTTCTTGCTCATAATAGATAAGCAAGGAACTCTCAAACTGGGAACTGGCTCAACATCCAAGTATATAAAGAGAAACGATGGGAGAGGAACTATTTACAGCTAGCTAAGAATGTTTCTGTAAACAAGGAATTTCAGTTTAAATTGTAAATACATGTTTTCTACTTTGTGGAAAACGTTCATTTGCTGAATCACCTAAAAACTGGCCATTGGAGCAATTGCTTCTTTGTATTAGAATTTGACCCAAAAAAATTACTTGCATTAACTACCTGCAACAAAAGTGTTTGTTTCTCTGGAGAGAGACAATATGGTAGAGAGATGAACATAGCATGATTAACTAAAACTCAGACCAAGTTTAAAATATTTAATATTGTAAAGAAAGAGGTTAATAATAGGTAACTTGAAAGGTTTTTCATATGTAATTCTCTTATTCTTAATAAAATTTACCTTCCACCAAGAGGCAAGCTTCTTTCAAGCACTGTAATTGCAGTATGACAGAAAATGGTATAAATAACCAAGATCTCCTATCTTTAATTTGCAATGAAATTGGGATTAGTTCTTCCCCACAGCCCTTCCACTTTTGGTGGAAAAAATGTGTGTTTTTCTTAGAAACAAGAGGAAGATGTTGATGCTCAGAGGTGCACACTAGCCCTTTAAGGCCCTTCCTCAGGAATCATGCAGACTTTTCCGCTTACTCAGCAGAAGTCTCCTGCCTTTCAAGCTAGATTTGCATATGCCTGAGTTTGGGAAGGAAACATATTCATACCTATTTTATTCAAATTGTAATAGTGACCCATAGGGATTAAGATTTCAGCTGCTTGGATACTGGAAAATCTTGGTGACACATATAACAAATACATTTACTAGATACCATTTATCCTGAGTCTAATCAATCTGTGCATTTCATTCCAAAGTGTGGTAACAGCAATGTATTTCCTCTAGGCCTTGCTGGCACTCACTTGGATCAAGGGTCTGCTCTGATCATGAGCTCCAGAACAGGCACAGCTTTCAAACTTGTGCTCAGCATAAAATTCCACAAGTGGCACATTTCAACTGCTCACCTGTCTTCTGGTCTTAAGACAACTAAAGAGCAGCCAGGATTTTTATTTCAAATCTCCATTTTGTTATTCTTCTGTGGAAAGTTGCACTACTCATCTTCTATGAAGTGATTTTAAGTGTTTATTTTCATAGCTTACCTCTCTCTCTAGAACAGCTAGGAAACAACCACTGGAAATTTCTGATGGCTCTATTTTGAAAAACATTTCAGTGGAAGACTCTGAATCAGAGCAAGTAGAAAAAATAGAAGGAATAAGCCTGTGAAAAAGAAGTGGAAGACCAGAAAATAATATTTAAGAATATAACAGGAAATAAACAAGGATATATTAAAAGTAATTTTCAAATTATTTATTTCAGTAACATAGATTTATCATTATTTTAAAAAAATGCAATTCAAAAAAGGCATGAGAATTCATCTTTTTAGAATTAAGTGGGGTTTTTTTTCTTTTTTTTTCAGTAATTCCTTTTTTTTTCCCAATTATTAAGTATATTAACCACCAGATAATAAATACATAATATGACAACGAAAAACTATGTTCTTTCTCAGGTGTGCAATTATTGAGTGATCAAGTTGTCCCTGAAGTTGGGGAATGGTCTGAAAACACTAAGGAGCTGCAGAAATTGTAGAGGTGTTGACTTTGAGCTATAATAGTAATAATAATAAAAAATATCATAATTAATACCTATCTAAGCTAAAAATCTTAGGCTAGGAAAATTTGCGATTTGTTCTAATTGAGGGCTTTTTCTCCAATTTTATAGTTTTGCAAGAACTAGCCTCTTCTGTTCTCCCTGAATTCCAGAAGTGCCTGGCTGTTACAAAGCAGTCTCAAGGACTTCGCTCATATGGCTAGTAAACTATACTAAGCTGTCTCAGTATAGAAAAACACTATCAAAATGTCCTTTTGTAATTATAATTCCCTTCACTGAGGGAATCCTACTCCTTAATGCTCCACTAACTCTCTTGTGAGACAGAGGTTTATTCAAGGATGGTTACAGAGAAATGCATTCAGTATTTGAAAGCAATAACCTGATTTGGCTGGCTAGTTCACTTTTAATGGGAAGTCTGCAAAACTGTTTGTTTCCAAGTTCTCACCATGATCTGGATTTTCTATGTTCCTTGGAACTTGATAAAACAGGCTACAAGGCTCAAATCCTCCTCACATTACTAAATAAAGCTCTTATGTCTTATGACACAGATTTTTGATTTTACATAAGCTTATTCAATGGAAAAAAACCCCAGTGGCAATCTTTTATTGTGTACAAGTTACTGTTCAACAGGAATCTCTTCAGTGACCCTGGAAAATGATGTAGAAATTAATTCAAATTTGATAGGCCAAAGCAAAATGCACGAGTGGTTTAGACTACTCCATACACACCTGTCTGACATGTGTACCCTTGCCTTAGGTAAAACTGCTGCTGTAAGCTGTCATTTCCTGAAGGGAAGTTCAGCTTCACCAGTGTGAACATGCTTTAAATCACCCTTAAAACTGCAGAGCCCTAAAACCAGCTGTGTGACCCCAAACTCCAACAGAGCTTTATTTTGTTTGGCACCACTTCAGTACTGTGGAGTAATTCCAAAAAGATAAAATGCACATAAGCAAAAATGTTTTAAGAGTTTCCTGAAAGCCCTCAATTTTCTTGGAAAAGGGAATTATTATTCAGTAGATCTTTGATGATTATACAACATGTTTTATTACAGCTTGTCTCTCAAAGATACTGTGAACGTGGGGGTTAGTAACTCTGCAACAGCCTTTCATTCTATACTGCACTGTTTTAGTCAAATAAGTTGTCTAATTAATTCTAAGAAAAGTGTAAAAGGAATTTTTTTAAGTAGTACATGCATTTTAAATGGCTTGAGCTTTCATCTTAAGCATAATCACTCTGTATATTTTATTTATGGCAATCTATTACTGCTCTGTTTGTGCTGATTACCAGCAGCTTTATTGTAGCAAGGACTATGATGAAACATCCAAGATACTGCATGACAGAAAAGGAGGAACTGAATCTGAAATTGCAATTTATGAAACTCAATCAATTGTCAGTCAGAAATTTGCTCAAGTCTGAAAAAATTCTAATGTAATTTTATTGTCCTTTTCTTACCATCGAAGATTGCCTTTTTGAAAGTGTAGTATCATTGGTGCTTTGACAACATTCATGATGCTTCTGCACAACAGTGAACAGATTTTGGCTTAGCTTTGTGGGGAGGGAGGGGTTTTACACAATGGGGGATTTTTAAAAAAATAATTAAAAGTCCAGGAACTTTTTTTAAAAAATAATTTCTATGTCATGAATTTAAATATTATTTATATTCAATAATTTAGAGACCATTACATTCCAAGGTTCCCCAAGTTCTCCCCATAGAGTAACAGCTGCACGGAGATCAAGACAGACTCCAGAAAATTTCAAATTCCAAAGGAAAACACAAGCAAGAGGCCATAAATGCTTTTGGTCTAGCACACCATCCTTGGCAAGACATACCCTGATTTCATCCCACTTAATGTAAAAAAAATCAAGCAGACTGCTATTTTCTCTCAGTGAATTTGAAAAAATATGCACTTTATTGCACTGTGTCTTATGAATAGCATACAACTTTTAAACCTTCTTTGGACTGGCCACAGTTAATATTTACTCTTTTAATCATGCAAAATTTAGTTACACTGAATATTTGAGCCACAGTACCTTTTCTCTTTGATAGCCAGACTATTAACTAAGGTAATATAAAATCTAAAAATACAGTATGACTCTTCTGTGATTTTTACAACATAAACTCTTTTAAACCTGCATTCAGTAATCCACTATTGTATCTATGTGCCAGTGAGTGCCAAGTGTTTGCACTGATGTGAGTGAAAGGGAAATACAGAAAATACCCATCAATCTTTTAACAATTCCTCTGGCTGACAGGGTGATAGCTAACAGGTTATAAGTACATATGAAGTATACAGCACACATACTTTTTTCATCTAAGTTTGTATTTTCCATGATTGCACAGGATGATCTCTTACTGTAACCTGTCCTTCCCAGAAGTCATTCATCTGAATACAGCAATGAGCAATCCTACAGCAAAGGGTTCTTATTCTTCTGTATGATTCTTAAATTTAAGATTTAATTTCTTTTTCCTTTGAAATTGATCATTTTACATCAGAAGCAGAGAGCATGCTAGCAAGTTAGTTTCATTCTCTGAACACTAATACAGCAATAGCAATAGCTCTATCTAAAGAATGTTATTTCCAACAGTGATGCTTTCCTCCCATCTTAATTTCAGATGAACAAAAATATTAGATGAAAAAGTCAATAGAATACTGCTAAGTAGTCTCATAAACAGAAAGAATGGCATGACAGGCAGCAAAAGCTATTTTCATTTCATGCAAGATACATATCAGTCTAGGATAAGAATTATGCTACAATTCAAAGTCACACTTTAATTTTTCCACAGATAAAACTACTCATTCTGTACCTATAGCGTCGTGCTTTATCTCTCTCCACTCCAGATTCCAGTGCTTTTTTCACTACAAGTTCATTTTCTTCTGGGTAAACTGAGCAAGTGCAGTAAACAATAGCTTGTACTTTGTTAACTACAAAACAAAACACAACTTCTTTACTCTTCAGATTCTTCATACTGACAGTGGTTTGGTAAGGATTAAAGGCATCATAAAAACTATGTCACTTTTAACTCCTGATCTCTAGTGTTTTTAAAGAATTAAAATATTTTCAAATATTTGCAGATTGCACAAAGTCAAAGCTGTCTCCAGTCTTTCCACACAGCTACCAAAGGAGAGAGTGAAAAAGAGGCAGCATGCAGATGGGGGGAGAATACATTTGCAGGATTTCTAAAGCAGAGTATAACTAAGCCATAAGCCAGCTCTCTACAGAATACTGAAGAGTATTATATTAATGTCTGGTGGACACTAGGGCACAGAAACACCTTCAGACTGGAGGAAATCATTGTTCAGGGGGTTTGGTTACATGCTTATTCATAATTAATAATTTGTGCATTTTTAACTATATTAAAACTGGTGATACTACAACGGAATTGATAGCACAAAGTCTTCCCAAAAATTGGGAAACTAGCACACTTACATTTCAGTGCATGAAGCAACTCATTAAGCTGCCTCTCAGCAAGAATCCTGAGTTTATCCTCCGACACAAATCCCTGAAAAAGGTCCTGTAGTAAATCTGCATCTAAAAGCAGAGAGTAGTAAATTTAGTCTTGCAAACTGGTGTCTCTTACTTGCTTCTAGTTAATGAAGATTGTACAGTGAAAGGATTTATACAAACAGTCAATAAAGGAATATAATCAAATAGAAAATTATATACATATTGGTATCTTCAAATAAATTTTCTGCCTATATCTTTTTACTTTAAAAAAAGCTATACACACTCTGCTCCCCAGAATCACCCTCACACTTTCATACTATCAATCTGAAGCAGTCACAGAATCATGCAAGTTAATTTATATAATTTATAGCTATTAAAATAAGGAAGGTTTCTTTAATAAAATTATACAATTTACGGAAGCACCTGCACTGATTAGGCTAAAATACTTGGATCTATTTCTACCAGAAAGCATGAGCTAGATATTGCATCAAAATTTACCTCCATGTTCACTTAAAATAAGCTCCATTGGATTGCCAGCACCCAGTTCAGAGCATTGTGGTATCAGCAAAATAACTGTTGCCTTTTCAAGTCTTGGGTCTGTTGGCCGAAGCTCAGTAAAGTCTTCATGTAACAAGGAAATATCTGTAAAACAGGGAAAACTCACCACTTACAGACTGCAAGCAAGCCTGCCTACAGGACAGAGGTGAAGAGACTGTGGTGTTACACAGAACTGGACAGAGCTGGAGCCTGCCAGATTCAGATTCTCCACAGTATGGCCTATGGATTCAAGCTGATTGAAAGGCTGCATCTTCCACTGAGAAGACAGTTAATGTGCTGCATTCTGTCCTGACAGTGTCCTCCAGGTAAACTGGACAGGTGTGTCTGTTTTGGATTAACATTCTCAAACAGCTGGAAATCAGAGTGAAAGCTAGAGCCAAAACACAATAAGTTCCCCACTACCAGCTACACCAACTGCTAAGTAGGAGCTACTTCTACAGAAAAAATCACCAATATTTCAGGAGCTTGCATCTATGATAGGGTTGGACTGTTATTAACTTGACTGAAGCTGAAGAGCTATCAGCTCACCTTGCGACAAAAAAGTTGTTACTGCCATCCCAAAGCCTCCAAAGAAGGGCTCTCTGAGTTCTGACAGAATTAGTCCATATTTACAGATATCACAAACTGTATCTCAATACTTCCTCAATACCAACTGTTTCAGCACCTACTTGTACATCCCATGTGACTGAAACTGTTCATCAGTTCTTCTTCTTTTGCCGAAGATTTCACACCACAAACAAAAATGCTGGAGCTGCTGTCATTTGTCAGCACTGACATATGGGCAATGGTCAGGTGGGAACCCAAGTGAGCCATTATAATGTCAGCACCCTCAGACAACAGCGCGCGCGCGGAGTGCACGGCGAGGCTGCGCGACTTGTCCTACAACACAACCACACAAAAGTTAACTATCATCACCTATCTTGGTGTCTGTGAATGCCAACCTTCTTTTCCAAATGAGGAAAGTCTTCCATTGTTTTCATAGGAAATGGAAAAGGAGGAAAAACACTAATCAGGGATATTTGCTAATAAAGAATTAAATACATTACAAAACCAAGCAGTCACTCAATAAATTTAAATAACTTAATTCTAAATAATACATGAAAACGTATAGTATCTATAGGTGAAAATAAAGTACATATCATCCTCATAAAGAGGAACTCCTACCAACAGCTTGTTCCAGAAAAGACAAACATTGGCCACAATTCAAGCAGAATTCATCCTCTGAGGGAGCTTAACAGAGAAATGCAAAACTATTCACATAGCAGTTGATGATAATTACAGGAGAAATATTGCCCTTGTAGATCAAAGATCAAGATTTTGCTGAAATTTGAACAACAGAGGGGCAGACAGGAATGCAGATAGCACAAGAAACATTTCCACAAGAGTAAATGCTCTTGTACCACCAGTGATTAAGAGAAAACTTTATCAAATCACTTAAAAAGGCAAGGAGTGATGATACTGGCCACAATTACCTGGTCTTGCACCAAATCTGACAAACTGATGATAAATGGAAAGGGAAAAAGAAAGTGCTAAGCCTTTAAATTCACATCACTGTCTATGTGCACAGACCATTCAAGCAACACCCTACCCCACCACAGAGATGGAAGTTTTGATGGTTCTATTTACTTATTTTGAATACTTTTAACTCAGAATTTGTTCCCATTACCTACAGGGCTGTCATCTGTAGTTCTTTTCTGTAAGTATTGTATTTAAAATCTACAAACTGAAATGGAATATTGAATACTGAGTCACTTTTTAAGTTGAGTAACAAATTTTGAGGCTAAAGTTTTCAGACATCTTAGTGGAAATGCTGGTTGAAATGTTTCTGCTAGGCACTCAAGAATCATCAGACAATTCAGATAATTCATGGTTGTGTTGATGCATGGATACTGCAAGCCCCTGCTCTAGAACAGAAACCTCCCACCACACTTCACTGGGGAGTTTGACAACAGCAAGTCAGGAAAAAGACTAGTGTGGCTTATGGAGATCAAGGAATCACACTGCACAAAATACAAAGAACTGTGATCATTCCATCACAAACATGCATTTCAAGAGGAAGAAATATTACAATAGCATATCACTAAGTGGGGGAAAGCCTATGGAGTTATATTGAAACTTTCCTCACATTTTCAGAAGTGAGACTGCCTCTTTTGACCACTTTTTATATTTACTTCAACAGCTCTAAAATTAAATTGAAACATTCTACTAACTCAATTACAGCTATCAATTAAGCATTGATATTGAGCATTGAATGTATGCTACATTTAGTAACTGGATCAGTTTGTAACCTAATTATTACAAATGTCCAAAACCTTATAAGAGTTTATCACTGCCTGACTGATTTAATAGAATAGTCACACAATTCACAACCTCTTTCTAAAACAAAACAATTATTTCAATTTTCAGATCATCTGACTCAAGGCTGAACACCAACTCACCTGCAGCAAGAGTTTGCAATCTGCAGAAAGATCTAAATTAAGCAGTTCTTCTTTAAGAGAGGAAGGAAAAACCAATACATCTCGGCAATGTTGGTCCACAGCATATGTGTAATGGTCAAAGTCTGACACAGATTCAACCTTTGTGAATCCCTTCATCTCCAAATCTTTGATAACATCTTCAAGGCTGTTAACATACAACTCTGACCATTAAATATACAAGAGTTACTTAAGCAACATCGTTTACATTGATTATAAGAATTTTTTACTTCTGTTATTGTGTGTGTGTATGCATACATATGTGTATACATATATAGGTATAAAATGCATACTGCCTAATGCAGGAGGGAAACTTACTCTCCTTTAGGCATGTAAGTTCTGGCTTGAAACAGTTAATAAGTCTGATACAATTAATTTTAAAAGTCTGATACAATTAATTAAAAAAGAGGTATGTGTCTCCAGAGAATGATTCAAAACTTCAAAACAGAAATGTCCATGTGCTCAGGAGATGCTGTAGTAAATATTCTGCTGGGATGCTTTAGTTCTTTCAATTGCCTTCAATCTAGCCCAACTCACCAATAATTTTAATGGCTGACATTGAAAGAATCCTTGTGTAAATGTAATGAAGGCATAACTGCTGAGGTTAGCAATTCAAATATCATAAAGATTTAAAGGTATATATAGCAGGAGATGTTTGTTGAAATGCTATTTCAGACTGTGCCATAAGTTTATACAGTACATTAAACATGGGATGGAAGGAGCAGCTTTTATTTATTTCCTATTTAAGGGCTCTAAACTCACACCCAAAGTAACACTCTACATTATCTTGAAGAGCCTATAACCTAAGCACTGAACACTGATCCAAGACAAGAGCAGTAAAACAAAATTCTTAAAAAGGTTACAAAATGGATTACCTGTCTAACAAAACAGATAACAGGATAATGTGGTATGGTTCATGTATCAGTTAGTACAGAACTGGGAACTGCAGTGTTACATATATAGTAGCCTATAAGCCTATAAGCCTATAAGCAGAATTTTCCTGTAAGAATTTTTAATTACTGCTAAAAATATAACCTGGAAATTCTAAAACAAGTATGTAGCAAACTGTATCACTTCATATGCAAAAACATCAATATCAGATGATATTTTAAAAATCTTACCTGATTTTAAATGTGTTTATCCAAAAACAGATAGGTAAAGCAGAAGTCCTTTGTTCCTGCTTCAATATGGTTTCTGGTACAAAGTATTCAATTGAAAGAGCATCATGTTTGATGCGACATCGTGCTAGTGCTGCTGCCAGCTTGGTCTCATAGCTATAAAAACAGTCACAAGTTTAATAAATTTTATAAGTATTTTCATCAGCTGTTAGCATGCAACATTTCTGTTACAAAACCATCTTGCTCAGAAACCAAATCCAAAAGGGACACCTTCTTCTGCAAGCTGCAGCAGAAAATACAGTCAGAGAACATTTTCTACCCCAGACAACAGCAGATGCAAGGTGTTATTCAATAGCTATGATTATTTTCTGTAAATCAGGGAAGACTGGAATTATAGCAGGGGACTCTGAAATACATCCATTTTCTCAGACAGATAAAAAAAAAATCTCAGTATGTTTTGGAACTGCAATGTGTGGAATACAACCATCAGATGCATCTGAATGTTTGAAAACGTAAATACATACATGTGCAGAACGAGCATTTGATGAAAGCTGGCCCCTAAACATGTACAAAAACAATGCAAGTATGATGGCAACCAGGAGTCACTTTTATTATTATTACATGAAAATGTCTGAGAAAATGTTTCCAGTCTTTTCTTTCCACAAGCTTCATGCATATTACTGATACATGATAATTCAAAAGAAATAAAAATTGCTGGTGAACTACTTCAGATATCTTACTCACTGCCCTCCAGAAATACCTTGCACTTAAGAGATTAATGAACTTTTTGGGCCATTCTAAATCCAGCAGCAACACAATTTTGCCTAATAAATGCCTTTTGAGTTAAACAAAATGTTGTTTGTAGTTTGATGGAAGAGATAATAAATATTAAAATGTTTCTGTATTCTGGTTTTTGTTCTCATTATTTAAAATAATAAATATTTAACAAAGTTTCAGCAGAAGTAGTAGAAGTACTGCTAAACAGATGTTATTCCATTCCATGACCTCTTGATTCTATTACACTTGCATTTATGAATATTTACTGAATATTTAATTTCCTTCCTAGAATTGTATAAAAGTTTCAATAATGCCAAAATAAGATGCCTGCAAAATAATCCACAATATAAGGATGGTTTCTTAACTGTATTTTTCATAACTATATAAATATGAACGCTTGCCTCTAAACTAGTCTCTCATTAAAAAAAAAAAACACAAAATTTTAAGGTGAAAGACATGTTTATCAAATACCTTTAAAAGGCACTGATTATACAAATCTTAATTTTTGCTGATCTGTATCAACAAAAAATAGCTCTTTGCACATATACCTGTATAAATAATTCCCTACTTCCTGAACTTCTGCTACAATTTCCTCTTCAGCAAAAATCTTTCGGTTTTGAAATTTTCGGTCTTGTAGGTCACAAAGCATCACAACAAGCAAGCTGGTTAGCTCATCTGGCTGCAAGAGAAAAGCAACTGGATAGAAAAAGTGACCCAGCATGAATTATTTCTGAAAAAAGATCCATATCAAACCGCAGACTCCCATGCAAAAGGCATTAAAAACCCTTAAATGCTTACTTGCAAGAATATGAAAGTAATTACTTGTGAAGAGTTAATAAAACAGTTTTTTAAAAAATATTTTTTAAACTCAAATACATAACTTACAAGTTGTTTTGATTATCAAAATTACAAACATTCTCCATGCACGCAGATAAAATACTCTATCTTAACTTCTAATGTTATCAGAATTGAAACTTTGAAATTATTTACTCTTCAGAAAGTAGTTTGTTAAATAGCTAAGCTAACAAAAACTTCTTGTCTATCAATTCCTCTCTTGTGAGATTCTTATATATGTAGCATCCAGTACACTCAGTTGTAATAACCCTTCTGCTTGTGGGATATATAAAACCTCCTTTCTCTGTCTAAATCTTTAAACCAGGGAGCATGTCCTTCTTAAGGACAGGAACTTCTGCACTTCAGTTACTACTGTTTGCCTCATTACATTAAATTCTTACAGTTATTATGCCTTCTAAAATTCTCATCTTCTCACAAATAGACCAAAATTAGTTAGAAAACTCAAGTTATTAGGGAGATAGCACAAAACACAAGACATTAGCATGAAAGTCTTACTTCCTTACATAAACAAGGCAAAGATAATAGTGTTAGATCATTTGCCTGCTCACATCAAACTCCACAAACTATATCAGCCCAAGTTTATCTTGCAATTTTCAAAGGCATCAAAGAAAAAACTGGAAGGAACAGCAGAATATTGTGCCAGCTCTAGAATTCCTTTCCATGTCAAAGCAGGAAAGCATGGTGAGAGAGTAAACTGGACCCGTTTTTGCCAGAACAGTATTTGTATACAGTGCTGTTTGCCCAGAAAATGAACCATGGGGTCAATGCATTTTTTTGTCCAATGGGATTCACACTATGCTTTCCAATTTCCAAGGATAGGAAGGAAACATTTTTTTCTCCTGCTCACAAGGGGACACAGCTGGAAAGGAAAGCACGTGGACATGGACAATATCACTGTGCTGCAGTGAAGTTCATGGCTCACTCTCCCACCTTCTTCCTTTGAAGGCTTTGACTTCCAGCAATCAGTTACAACAGAATCTCACAGCAGACTTTGGAGATGGATAAGGTCAGCAATATTTCAGTCTAAGGCTGTCATGTACAACAAAGGTTGTTTGGAAGAATGTTATAGAATCCTCAGAAAAGGTACTAATTACATCAACACAGAAAATAAAAATGCCTAAAAAAAAGGTTCACTTACTATTGAGTAGGATGGGTAAACCTTACTCTCTACCAACACTTCTTCAAGAAGATCTTGATCTGTAAAAAGAAGAAAATGTTGACAAGTCATGCCAGTCTCTACAATATTCTATGGAAGTAAGTCACTAAATTGTAATTTTAAACATCATGAAAATTGAGGGCAAATTCAATCACCAACAGCAGCAACCCTATGTAATTAATTTACATGAAAAAGAATAGGTTTTAAATGTTTGATTTCACAAATTCTAATAACACTTAGCTATATTTAAATATTTGAGGGATATGAGTAGTCTGGTAAATACATATATTCATCCATAATTAGGAAGTGAAAAGAAGCACTGAGATGAGCCCAGTTGGTTAGAGCAGGGTGCTAGTAACACCAAGATTGTGGGCTCTATCCCCTTACAGGCCTTCCTTGATGATCCTTTTAGATGCCTTCCAATTCAGAATATTCTGTGAATCTGTGACTCTGTAATAACCTGAAGCTTTACAAAAATTTCCCTAGATCAGGCAGACACGGAACATTTGTTTTTCCACGTTTTTCTGCTGCATCATTTCTGTTAGCAATTCTTGGGTGAGTTCTGTACTTACATTTTAGAGTTTTGAAAGCCAGTTCATAGGACACACGCCTGGACTGCTCATCTTTAAAAGCCACCGTGGGAGACCCCGAGGTATCGCCATAACGCAGCAGGATTTTACCTGAACTCTTCTCAGTACGAAGGCCTTGAAAAATCTTAGCTGCATTTATGTAGATGGAGTCAGGATAGCCATCCTTCCCAATCTGAGGCACTGCTCTTTTTTCAACAGATCCCTTCTCATCCGAAATTTTTGTTTCACTCAAGACTGAAGTACCATTTATAACATCCACATCTGAAGACTCCAAATTACTTTCAGAATCTGGCATTTTTCCAGTTGCTGACTGTGTAAGGGCAAGTCACAATCCTGCTGCCTCTGCAAAAAAGCAAAGTTTGTACTGAATAATGAAATTTTCTTTCACTAGAATAGACTTTTCCCTTCCTTTTAGGGCTTTCAATTTTCAGGCTCTAATCTTGCAATTACATATATATGTGTATCATGTATATCTCTATCCATCTATCATCTTACACATCATAGAGAAGTATTTAGAAGAGTTTTCTTACATTATTTGTTTTCACCAATGCACATGCAAAGACTAGTTACTTGTTTCAAAAAGTCCAGTGCTTTACAATCACTGGTCCTTTATGGAATATACAAACAGAACTGATTCTGTGTCCAATAAGAACCATTATTATTGCAGGCAGAATAGCATCTCTTACTAGCAATTCTCCTTTAATAAAAAAGACATCAAAATTCCAAAGCAGACATCATGTCTTACAAAGAGCCATCCTGGAAAGAGCTGCAGTGAATTCCAAATGTTTGTCCTCTAAACTGCATATCTGTTCTTAAAAGTGGAAAACATAGATCACCCAAATGTTAAAGTATTTAATGCATTCCCTAAGCACAATTTTAAATGCAGGACACCCATTCTGAGAGTCTCTAGAGGTATAATCCAACTCTCTCTAAGCCCATGTGCATTTCTTAAATTTTCTATACATCTTAAATTAACATATATAAAAATTACCTTCCCCAGAGGTGGAATAGGGCTTCAAGAAAATGAAAAAGTCCCAGAGTTAGTTGAATACAAAAATATTCTAAAGCTCCACATAAAACATACCTGAAGTATTGGATTTACCCTACTTGATCTGGTTTTTACAACATGCATTTATGATAATGCCTGGATATGCAGAAGTCATATTAACTGTTCGGAAGTGGGTTACGCCAAAACAAGTTTAAACACAGAATAAAGATTTTTAAAAATCTATCTAGTCTTCCTGCCTAGGAAAGAATACTACAAAAGAACTATGAGGAATTTAGTAGCTATAGCACAAAAAGCTAGGCATGGATCTCAAATGAAAGGGGTCTTCTTTTTTGCTACATGATTTAGTTCATTACAACAATTCTCAAGCTTTTTCCCTGCACTCCCCAGCACCACTAAGGATAAAATACACACCTCCTCCCTAGAGAAACACTTGCTCAGCATCCTTTCTTCCTCTCCCCTTTTCTCCCTCCCATCACAAAAAACCAGAGTGGCAATGGAGGACGGCAGGACACAGAGTTGGAGGGGCAAGGGAGGGGAACACAAACTGTTGCTTCTCCAGCAGGCAGCCATTCAATCTCCATGCTGGGCCAGCATTCCCCCATTCAAACTCCCTTTCCCAAACATGGGTGACACTCAGCCCATCCCTCCCCTCTCCAAGACCAGCACAAGTCAGTGTCTGGCCAGCCCAGCACACTCCACACAATGGAGCAGTGTGGCTTCCTGAATTCTGGCAACCCATCTGGAGGAGGCCAGGCCACATCTTGTTCTCCTTCCCCAGGATTTGCTCTCCAAAGCTGAGAACTGCTAACCCTACAGAAGCAACCCTTACTGTTACTTTACAGAGGCCTCAGACAAACAGTTTCTTCTAGCAGGAGTTTTGCTCCAACATCCCCATTAGATACAGCAGTCATGGATCCATGGAGCAAACATAAATTTATTTTATGAAGCCATATTGAAACACAACAAGCAGTGCTATCAAAAGAAAGCCCTATTCTCCACTAGAATGAAGTACCAGATCACCTAAAACAAATTGAAACACTTGTGCTCAGAAAGGGAAAAGAAAACCCATAAATGCTTTCATGATCTTTTACACTATTTTGACCAGCAAACATATCTCACAGGGGCACCATGTCAGAGACCTGAAACTTATATGTCTTCTCCAGGGGAATGCAAATACTCTATTTCAGAATATGGAACAAGTGAACTATGTCTGTGGTGTAAGGACTTTGAAGATTTGTAGAGTTTCCAATTACTCTTTGTGACTTCTTTGCCAAAGCCATTTCTGCTAGCCACAACACACACTGCTATCAATGACTTGATAAATATACTTTCCCAAAAGACAAATGTCACCCTAATAAAGATGAAATGCCAGTGTTCTGCCCTGTGCAGACACACAGCATGTTTGCAACTCTGTAAATCACAGTCTGATTTACTGAATGCTGTACCAAGCAGACAACATCAAGCTGGATTAACACAAAGCTGGGAAGAAGAGCTTCCCAGACAAGGGAGAAAAGATCCTGCCTTTGTTTGTGGATGTCAAGCAGATTACTCAATTGATAGGGAAAAAAAACCACCCAGGTCTCAAGGTCTCCAAAACCAGAATGGTGTGAAAGATAAGTCCAGCTTTGCCTTAATAAACTCAAGCAGACAGAATTATGACATTTATTCACTGCACAGCATAGTAAGTGATTCACACACATACATCCCCATAAAAATCACTAATTCCTTTGTTTATACACCAGTAAGTGTATTTTTCCCATTTCCTCAGTTATCACCTTTTTCAGTAGCCTCTACAAATAAGGAAAATAAAGAGAAAAAAAACCCACGGCACCTGTGTTGCATCAGGTACAGGAGCCAGCCTGACCTCCCAGCTCCAATTCACATGAACAGGGACCCCATGAGCAGCGGGTGTGTGAGCATGGACGTGGCTGCTCACACACGAACAAACAGTAAATCCCTGAGAGCCGTACGTGCACCCTGGTTTTCACCTCACTAACTCTGTGGGGACGCATGACGACATCTGTTTCCTACCATCCCTGCGACTGACACTGAGCTCCAAAGCCTCGGCTGTCCCCAGCTCCAGCCAAGCTGGAGGGCAGCAAAGACTGCTGAGAGTCAGAAAGCAAGTCAGCCACCACACCATTCCCCTACTGCGCTTAATTAATGAGGAACAGCTGAACTCCACTCACAGGACAGGCATACAGAAGGGGAGCAGAGAAAAAGCAGCTATTTCTTTGTAAAATCAGGCAAAGCGTT